GAGAGAGTGTGTGTGTGTGTGTGTGTGTGTGTGAGAGAGAGTGTGTGTGTGTGTGTGTAACTGACTGTGCTCAGAAATACATTTCAAAAGATTGAAACTTCCAGGAAAAATGAAGCTACAGCTGTTGCCAGACTTTTGAAAGCACTGCCTTCCACCAGCATGCACAGTGCTTTTTCTAGATCACATGACTTTTATGCTCATATAGCCGTATCCTGACCTGTTGTTCCAGCCACATGCCGTCTTTATATCATTTCTGGCGTTGTGCTGCAAAGCTTCCCAGTTTGGAATAACAGTATGAAAAATGCTGGAATCAGGCAACGTGCTACCGCATAACGTTTTGAGATGCTGCTGGCGGAGTGTTATTTATATAGCTCGGAGCAGGACGGAGGGATGCCGGGTGGTTCGACTTTCTTGATGATAAATAAAGGAAGCTGCTGCTGTGCATGTGTGTGGGTGTATGTGTTGTAGCTCCGGGTGTCTGGTTTAAACTAAAGACTGGTGGTCCTTTGATTTGGCACCTGAGTGTGGTAGATGCTGTACAATGCTTGCTTTTTGTCAGACGCACAAACACACATGCACAGACATCAGCAAATAAAGTTCTCATATCGTTCACCAGACTGGAAACACTGGCAGCCTCGAGCTTTTTAAGTGATGCTTTTTGTTTGTGTGTGGGTTTTCCTGCGTGCACGTTTCAATGTAAGCGCAAGCAAGTTTGTTTTTTTTTTTTTGGGGGGGGGGTGCACAACATTGTGTTTTTGTGAATATAGCCTGTCAGTCTGCTTTGCCGAGTACAAACTGGCATCATTAGTGGGCCTTAGGCTGGCTGCCGCAGCACACTGGGCTGAGCACTGACAGCAAGGAAATGTGGAGTTTAAAAACTGTTATTTTTTTCCATCGTATTTGTATATTTGACAAGTTTGCATCTCTGAAAACATCGTTACAGCTCAACTGACAAATCGTAGTAAGACGTAGCAGCATCTGGCAATGCACGCGCTCGTAAATGTGCACACACCCTGAATGCTGTCAGTGATAAGAGAGCAATCTTGCAGCATCAATCAGACTTAAAAACAGCAAACACATTAAACAATTCCAGTTAAACAAATTATGAGTTTTATCCACACTCACCCTCTGAAATGTTAACTACCTAAAAAGAAAACTCTTCAGAAGCCTTTTTCAGTTTCACACCTATAAAACATAATGGCGTTCGCTGTGGTGGAGATAAATGGTTTCTTGTAATTCTCCTCCGCTCTGTTGAGTTAGTTCTGAGAAACTGGTTGAATAGAAAACAGTGTGAATAAGCGCCTTGATATTGGCTACAACTTCAAAATGAGTTCATAAACTGAGCAAAGTTGTTGAATTACATTCAGTTATCTCAAATGAATAATAGGATTACATTCCCACACTATGAGAGGATTACGTGGCACTAGAACACACTGAACATGGTGTTTTTCTTTGATTGCCACATAAGAGGCTAGATTGCATTTACGTGTAGAGAATGACAAAAGGTTATTTGAGGCTAGATTGTGGATTTCAAACTAAAGGAAAAACTTAGAAAATTCCTTGCATAACTGGTAATTTGCTGTACTTCCTGTACTTTCATGCCGATATCCATGTACTTATTGGTTGGCAGAGGGTTGTGGGCCATACTACAGCCTATTTTTGTAGACACATCCTGCAAACAATTCCTGGTAATATTTACAGCAAAAACTTGGTGATGACTACCAAACACCTGGACACACAGCCATTAGTGTGATCTATAATATGGTATTTTTAAGACCAATACTGCTGGTATGGGTATTTGGTGAATTAATTTTTTTTAGTTGTAGTTACATATGTGCTCCTATATGCTCAGATTATCTGGTGGTATTTTTCAGGTGTGCTCCCATCACAGTAGTTGCACAGTGTCCCCTGGTGGATGAACTATGCAACATCAACACCAATAACACGTTGCTGAAGGGTGTTTCTCCCGTCTCTTTGGCTACGTTCACACTGCAGGTCTTAACCCTTGTGTGGTGTTCGTATTTTTGTTACTCAGCCAGTGTTCATGGGTCTGGTGGACCCGCTAGAGTTTTGGCTTTCCAAATTAACACTATCAAACAATTTTATGTTAAATTACTCAACAGATGTTTACTTCATCCCAATTACAAGACATATGAACAGCAAACATGGTTAATTTTTTTCCCTTTACCTTTGTTAGATCACATTTATGAATTAATGTGCTTCTCGTTTTTCTTTTATATAAAATGTTATAAATAAATCAGTTATAATCAAGTGGAGTGAGTGGAAAGACACAACACATTTACACGTGAAAAAATAATTAATTGTTTAATTTTTCTTTTGAAAAAAACTGAACACGGGTCTCACAGACCCGAACACCATACAAGGGTTAATGCTCAATTCCGATTTTTTGATCAAATCCGATTTTTTTTGTCTGCTTGTTCACACTACAAATAAAATGCGACAGCAACGCGCTCTAGTGTGAACGCTCAAAGCGGCCCGCTCAAAGAAGACGTCACACACAACGCGCTCTGTTTAGACCCAGAGCAAACAGTATTGCTTGACTGATGGCCCTTAATATAAAGACTTCGGACTTTACGTTTCCCAATTTTTGCTTTAAGTTATTTTGTTATTTACATAATAATGTAACTAACCTAATAATTATCCTTATTGCTGTTTTAGAGAGGAGCGGTGCTTCAAAGGATAGTTGCAGATTTCTGTCAGAATCTGCAGATTATACAGTACAAATAAAATGTTCACGTTGTCTTCCCAAGAGTTTCGCTGGATGGCCAGGAAGCGTTCACGATGTCTTCGCAGGCGCTGATAATTGGCGTCTGTCTTGTGTCAGTGACGTAAAAGACGGATTTGATGCGACATAACCGTTCAAACAGCAGTCGCTTTCTAAAACATCGGCTATGTATCGGATTCAGTACCACATACGAAAGTGACCCAGATCGGATTTGAAAATATCGGATTTGTGCCGTTCACACTGTCATAGCATGATCGGATATGGGTCGCATAGGGTCAAAAAAATCGGATTTGGCAAGCAAAATAATTTGGATTCTTTTCTGGGAAACTGTCATGCTTTCCATCTTTATAAGTAGCCTTGCAGGAAAAAACAAAGCTGAAAAATGTGTATAAGTTTTGGTCAGCATACTGACCATAATGCATTTATTTGTTTAACAGCGTCATTTATATCTGCTTTTTAGTGTAGATCGTTGTTGCTAAAGGCCCGCATGTTGGGTTTCTATCCTCGTGTCAGTCCTCCACTCTGATCATCTTCACTTCTGTTTGTTCAGAAACCTCGACAGGTCCCTTCTGTGTCTTTTTTCTCTATCGGCTTTGCTTCGTAGCTTTTGTCAACTTGACTGTCCTGCTGCCAGCCTTCTGTTCGTTTTTAATCTGTACTCCCACTTTGTTGTCTTTTTATTTTCATCTCTTTGTTCTTAACTTTTATTTGCTCTGCCTTTTGGCCTCCTGTGCCTGCTGCCCTTTATTTTTGAGTCTGTCATGGGTTTTTTCCCTTTGTTTTCAGGTTTTCCCCTACTTTAACCCCCATCACCATTCCTTCTGCTATTAAATATCTTTGGAATATTTAATGCTTGTGAGCTGCCTCACAGTGTTGTAGAGGGTAAAAAATATGTGTTTGCAAATTTTTTAAGACAATTACATAAGAAAGCATGATTAGCTGAGGTCAAACAAAGTATTAAATTAAAAACCATGAGGTCTAGCTCAAAATTAATGCTGTCCATCCCACGGACTAATCTCAAATCTCGTGGCGATAGAGCCTTCTTTGTGGCAGGTCCCAAACTTTGGAATAGTCTTCCCCTAAATATTAGATCTGCACAAACACTTGATCAATTTAAATCTAAAGACACATTTTTATGCCCTGGCTTTTAACACACCCAAGCATTTTGGTCTTATTTTAATAGTCTTAGTTATTGTTTTAATTGATTTATTGCCCTTTCATTGTTTTATATTGTTATCATTATTTTACATTGTTTATTTTTAATGGCATTTTTATATTGTTAAGCACTTTGTGCAGCATTGTATGTCTGGAAATGTGCTATATAAATAAATTTGACCTTGACCTTAACCAATAAATAAATTTGCAAAATACTAGCAATCCAGGTTGCACTCTCCCTATTGCCCTATGACAGCTGGAATAGACACCAGCCCACCTGTAACTCTGAACTGGATAAGCAGAAGAAGACGGATGGATGGATGGATGGATGGATGGATGGATGGATAATTGGATGGATGGATGGATGGATGGATTGATACCTTTTGATTAAAAAAGCTGTCTGTCTCTCTGTCCCCAGGTCTTCTCTGACGTGCCCCCATTGCCTTAAGCAGAGCAACACCTTTGATCCATTTTTATGCATCTCTCTGCCTATTCCTCTACGACAAACCAGGTAATGCATGATACATAAGGCATGAGATCCAGTCTAAAGTATATTTGTTGCTGTTTGTTTACTAATTATAACATCAAATATAACTTATTATGAGCATAGGGTAACAACTTATTTTTAAAAAAACAAACTAGTTTTGTTTTTTTTTACTTCACAAACTGCATTTTGCTTGTTCTCGGCATCTTTAATTAAACATTAGTGCAGATTTTTAGTTGTTCACTTTGGTCTCCCTGTGGTCTCTAAAGGTGTTAAGTTTTAGTGCAAGTGTTTCAAACTTTCTACAATAGTCTGGTGTGCAAGGAAAATCCCTCACAGATTGCTGTGCAGTCATGTAAAACCTTTTCTTGGCTTTTTGACAGTTGACACTGTGAACATATGAGGTTGTCACCAGATAACAGTGATATGGATAGTACCTTCTAGGCTCCATGAGTAAATAAAAACATTAGAAAAACAACACCGCAAAACATTCCAAAATGTTGCCAATTTAGATTATAGAAAAACATGCATGCATTTATACTAACATGCTCTATACACCAAAAACAGCCATGTTCATATCAAAGTGATAAATGCTGGTCAACCGAGTTCCTGACCACACACTTCCTGTGCTTCCATTTTTAACCCAAGAAGCTGCATGCCAGCAAGGTTCTGTGGTAAAACAGTGCGGCTCTGACGTGTGAGCGGGGAGAAAGGGAGCTAGCAATAGAGTCAGATGGGATGTTTTATTTTGACAGCAGAGATAATGGTGAAGGAATACAAGGAACAACAAAAATCGTACGAGACACCTGTTTTCTTGCCATCCAAATGAAGTAGCAGAGGCACAGCAACACAGGCAACCTCATCCACACATCACTGATAGTTTTCACCATACATACAAAATGCATTACTAGCTGTGTGGGTTCATGATTGCAAATTAATTACTTTTCATTCAGCTGAATTAACTTTAACTAGACTTTAACTTGACTCTGAATAACTGATAGTTCTACTCGTGTGTAGAGGTGCTGATTTAAAGTATTTTGCCTGATTAGATCTCTTCTTAAAACTGTGAGGGAAGTTTGATTAACTTTTTTCACCAGTTGTTGTGCTACAAATTAGACTTATATCATTCTCATTTGCAGATGGACCAGGGATTTATATCAAAGCTCTAATTCACATTCAAATTAAGCTTCAGTCTAATTATCCAAAATGACGTGCAGTTGAATTTAGGTTATACAGTAGTGGGTACAACACTGTAGATTTTGTCCTATGATATTCATATGCAATCTCCCTTTTTCACAAATGTTCGCCCCTACAAAAAGCATCTAAAAAGACATGAAATATGCTGGAGTCTAAGCCATCTGTTATGGGGTGAAAGGCAGCGTACACCCTGGACAGGTTGCCAGTGTATCTCAGTGTATCACAGAGAAACAGATAACCATTCACAGTCACATTCAAGGCCAGTTTAGAATCACCAGTTAACAGTAAGGCTTTGGAAGCTTTTCAGTTTGCCTTCATTTGCTACACAATGAATCTTCCTATTTTCAGGAATGCAGATGTCACTCTTCTGCATCTTCTCTGCATCCACCAAGCTAACTCCAAACTCATTTTTGCAGCTCAGGCACTCACTGTCTCGTGACAGTATGCAGCCTGTTCCTGCAGTTGCCATAGCCTAGCACACAGAGAAATTCATTCAGGTTCAGCTTGAACTTACTGCTGGCCAAACATTGACCTGACACACACACACATATGCATGCACACACACAGTGGCCTCATTGCACCGTCCTGCTGCAGCAGTATCCCAGCTGAATGCTGATAAGTCTGAGACCCCCAGAGAGACAGAAGGGTCTGGCTGCCAGCATGGCATCAAGGCCTGGGTGCTGTAGATAATGCCAGTATGGCAGAAAGAATGAGAAAAGCAGAATGGGAATGTTTTCTGCCGATCACCTAACTTTACAATATTTAACCTTGAGCAGTCGTGGCATCATTGTTACCAAGCTTACTGTTATTCAATTTAAAATAGTCAAAAAAGTTCTAAACACAAATCTGTCACATGACTTCAGTCTACTGTGCAGCCATCACTGGAGCCTTTCTGTGTGAAGTCTGTAGATTCCCAAGACTTGCATTTTAGGTTAACTTACTATTCTTAAGTGGCTGTAGTTGTAGATATGAGTTTTCATTGGGTATCTGTCATATGGGTGGGCAATACAATACTAACAATGCAAAGGCTGCACAGGTGTATAGAGTATTTGATTGGATGAAGCCTGTTTCTCATTTTGTAATTGTACAAGTGCTTGTTTCATAACCACACTGTATGTAATCACTATAATGACTGACACAAGGTGTGAAAATCATGAGTGGATAGGCAAAAAAATTACAACCTATACTTCCTGTTACATAAGAGTAAAAGGCTGTGACAGACAGACTGGAAAAATGACTGAAGCGATACTTTCAAATACACAGGAGTAAACTAAACATCAGCAGGCTGTAGCAGGTCTCATAATGCTTTTAATGCTGTCATAAAATTAGCTTTCTTTGAATTGACTTGTAATGGTTGTTGTTTTTTTATTATTTGGGGGTTTTTTGTATTACAAATCTCACACACTGATCAGTTCTTATCCAACTGTATCTTGCTGTTCCAGTTATTAATTTCTAGGGGAATATCAAATGCCACAGATATTTTATTTTTGACAAAGATACACTATCATAATGCAGGACTGCAGGTGGGAACATGAAAAACATGATGCCGTGCAAATATAAAGCTTTTGTGGCTCCACAGGTAGCTGCATGAAGTGCGATGAAACACCCCAAGTGAAATCACTGACGTCTGTATTATTTGGGGCTGGGAGTAGTTGTGAATAATGCAAGCAACAAGTTTTGCCAACAAAAATAAACAAATGAATGAAAAAATAACCCTCATTTTGCTGCAATTTGTCTTTAAATTCTGTTTTCTCCTGTTTTTTAAAAAGAAAAACAGCCAAATTCAGTAGCGCTATAGGAGTGATTGGCTCTCTTTTAAAATGTTTGCCTTGCTCTAATGTCTTAAGTTATGTAAGAACAACTGCAACCACCACTAAATGCAAAAGGAAAAATGTAAGTGCTTTGTTTTGGTGACAACCACGTTTGCTTAAAAGGTCATTTGCGAGTGGAAACCTTTTCCCGATCAATTCATACAAGTCTGTCAACGTCTATGCAGTGTGGGTGCCAGAGTAGCAGGGACATGTGGCTCCAGTCACTTAGGTATTCAATAAAAAATGAAATCAAATAAAAATACAGAGTGGATTCACACTCTTGCTTATGTCGTTTGACAAAACAGACATTATAAATTGAAGTACACTTTAAGACCCACTTAATTTACACATAGAATAGTACTACAAGCATCAATCATATGATAATAAACATATTAAAAGGGGCACCTAAATTATGCGATTAATTACAACCATAAACAGATAGTACGCTCATAGAGAAATGTGCAAAAGTATCCATCTTTTATTGGAGAGGCAAAAAGAAAAGAGACTATTTGTAGTTAAACGAAGGACTGTCTTGCTGTGAGGCAACAACACTAACCATCACACCACTGTGCTGCCTTTTTTTCATTACCATACTAACTTGATTTAACATATAGTTGTAAAAGGATATTGGGGATCAGAATGCAGCTGAGAGACCACAGTGACCTTTTTGGATGGCCTCTGACCTCCAAGGCATGTGTGTAACACTGATGCTGTCTATGTGAAGAGACCATGCTCACAGACTTTTAACAGACGATACAATAGTAACACCACTATACATGTTAATGCGATAGAAATAATATTTCAAGCAAGCACTTTCTGAAAAAAAAGTTCATGCTCATAGTACATGTAAGCATCTAAACTGGGAAAGCACTGCAGCAAAATAGGCATGCTCAAGAAAATAACTATAAATATCATTTATATATCTAGCATCAAGCTTAAGAGCACTTTGAATGTTTTTGAGTTCTGTGCACTTGTTGCGGTTCGCAGGTTGTTGTTTAATCGAGACTATCAGACTCTAAACCCACAGAGAGCTAGGATGCTTCAAAAAGACTGCTTTGTAGGATGACATCTCCATTTCCGATTCGTCTCAAGTGTCATCCCACACTTCTCATCTCGTCTTGGAGTAACATACACAAAACAACTGCTCAGATACTCTGCCATCTGCTCTGTCAGCATCCCTACTACTAACACTTTATTCACCTGAATAATGCACGAGGAGAAACAGGAAGTGGAGGTGTCAGCGATTACACTACCTTCTTTCCAAATGGGATGGCGCAACTTTACTTTCACTCCTCGCTCTGAGTTTTTCTCTTTACTCTGTAATAATCAGTAGCAAACAAACACTCAACAGCAAAGCACAGTACAAAGCCATGAAGGGATTCCTTAATGTCTTCTGTATTTTAGATTTTTCCTTATCATTTTAACCCTCTCCTGGAAATATTTTAACGATATGCAATGACAACAAAGCCTCAGCATTTATTGGGTAATTTTGTGTCATTTCATTAATGATTACCACTTCATAAGTAATTTTTAATAAGATTTTTAAGGTTGTGCAAATTTGCTCCTGTGAACATGTGTCAGAAAAAAATCTATTGATGCTTGATGGTGACACCCACACCTTAAATAAACTGTCCTTTGGTCATTTTTACATTTTGAAGGTGGTTTGGTTGCAAAGCAAAGTGGCCACATTGTACAGTAGAAGGATAAAACTATTTTTTTAAACGATTTTACCTACATCTTACATTGTGTGTTTTGGATTAGATTAGATTATGTTATGGCCCATCTAGGTGTGGCCGGACCACAACATGAGGGTGATCCATCCTTGTCAGACCCCAAGCAGCCACATCACACAATTGGTACAGTTTGATAATGATTTATTTACAATATGTTGACTCGTTAGGTTTTTTGACACCAAAAAGGAGTTGGTTATAGCTTCGGGGTGGACTTAATGCCAATCCTTACCTAATCAAAAGAATCAAACCAAATGACAACAGCTTGCTTCACTCATTAAGAAAAACAGAAGAAAACTATAATCAAACAAAAAGGCAGTCCACCCCTGCACATTCCTGTATATGGTGAACAGCATTGGGCATGTTTCCAAAGGTCTGCTGGTTGGGAAGAGCCAAGGATGAATGAATGGGAGACCATGGCGGTGTCATCATATAAGTCAGGGGTGTCGAACTCCAGGCCTTGAGGGCCGGTGTCCTGCAGGTTTTATATATGACCCTGAATCAAATGATTAGTTCATATCCAGGCCTCTGGAGAGCTTCAAGACTTAGGAGGGGTTGAGGAGGTCATTTAAACATTTAAATCAGCTGTGTTGGATCAAGGACACATCTAAAACCTGCAGGACACCAGCCCTCGAGGCCTGGAGTTCAAAACCTGTGACATATGTCATTTCCAACTCATTAGCCAATCCGTATGGTCCGTCCTCTGGATCCACCAATCACGGAGAGGCACCTGCATACTGGGATTTTCATATTAGACAACAATACAACAGCAGTCATAACAATTACATTAGATTAGAGTCGCCTTTAATGTCTCCTTTGGGAGAAATGTATATTTGATAAATGACAGAAACACAACATGTAAGGTAGCACACATACCAACACACAGTCAAGCTGCACTTTTTACCATTTAGTAATTGATCATGACACTAAAAACACTTTATACCTTTACTCTTTATAAAGGATGCAATTTATATCATCAGTGATTTTCAGCGATTTTCCATCTCTGCTTTTAGAGTATCTCCTGGAGAGAAGATGGAGAAGAATGCTAATTATTCCAGGCATTTTAATCGAGTTTTGAATTCGTGATCTGAGCTTTGCAGAAAGGTTACCAAACCAAGTGCCAAAACGGCATTAACATGGACCATGGACCTTAAGCATTCTTAAAAAATACAAGCGCTGACTGTTTCATGAGCATACTGGATTCATCATGCTCCACATGATAAATACACGTGTTGCTTGAACTTCTTAACCTAGGTCTTAACTTCTTCAGATGTCACTAGAAAAAAAAGTCTTTGTAATCAGGTAATGAATTAATTAATGATGAATAGGGATTATTGGGAGCAAAGATATAGATAAGTAGAGAGGGTAGACCCAGTAGCCTATCAGGGCTTTTCTTCCTACTCATCCATCAGTTTTCTCAGTTTTTGGATCAGACTGACTCCTGTTTTTTGTTTTTTTGTTTTTGTCCCAATCCACCCCAAACCCACCCCGCAATCATTTTCACTCCTTGATTCTTCCCAGAAAGTGTTCATATTGCTGTGACATGTCCCAGCATACAGCCGCTTCCTGAGGGACCTGCAGGGGTTTTGCTCAGCTTGCCCAGTCATGCATAAATCTGGACAAACACTAGGGAGAGATGAAACCCTTCGGAGGTGAAATCTGACGAGTTAAATCATAGGAGATATTAAATGAGATCACAAAGTGATGTTTTATGCTCAGGAAATTAGATTTGATATAACAGTGTCAGAGGAAATCTTTTCCCTGAACTGATTAGATATTAAACAGCTCAACGGTTTTATTTTGCTGTTTGATACCTGGAGTTCATGAAGACCCAGCTATCCCCAAAAGCGTCTCTTTAACAAACCAATGTGTTTTTGTTGCCCCTGGCATTTTTGAATGCTGCACAGTTGGATTAGTCAGTTTCCAGTTAAGATTTATATGTACGTGTCTTTACTCACACTATGTAAGAAAGACGTGTGTGTATCTGCATACAAATATATTGTATAAATAACTCAGCATGCCAGAGTTTAAAATATGTAACAATGTAAACAAAAATGCAGAATAACTTACTGCTGTGTTCATGAGCATGTATTGATCTTTCCCAGTGTGCTCTACCATTTCTTGCCTTACAGAAAAACACACTCACACCCTTTATTCCTCTTTTTATCTCATAGGCCAATGTGTGTGACGTTGGTGTTCAACACAAAGGGTCAGAGGCATCTGCGAGTGGGGCTGGCTGTACCGCTGTTTGGCTCCCTGTCCAGTCTGAGAGCTTTGGTAGCAGCGGAGGGCAACATCTCTCCTGACCAGGTACTCACACAGTGTGCAGTGTGTACAGAAGAAGTTGATTACACTGATCATGACCATGTTGCATTGCGGCCCCTTGAGAGTTCCCAATGACTAAATAATAAATAATAAGTCTCCTTCTCTACCCAAGCTGAGAAAAAAACAAAAGAAAAGAAAGATAACCTGCACTGGACCCACTTTTGAGACTTTTAGCTGCTATTGTATTCATATTGTACAGATTATTAGGTTGCTTAAAAATATCTTTAAGTGATTGTGATCAGTTCCGAGGTGAATCCAAGAACTCAGTGAGAGGAACAAAAAGCAAGGTTTTATTTTTAAAAAAGGATTGCAACGGTTCTCAGAAAGTTCAAAGGAAGTAACAAAGAAAAAAAACTAAGCCAAATGTGATAACGTAGGCACTGGGTATACAACAATACACACAGGAACACAGAAAAATAAACTCACAAGGTAAACAGACAAAGGACAAATGGGGCACACAATTACAAAGGAGGGAAAAGAGTAGAAAGTAAAACTAGAACATGCCTCTTTTTTATTTCCCAAGTTGCAAATATTTAATTTTTGTCTTTGACTCCTGTCCACGTGTCTTAGTCCCTCCCACCAGACACGTGAGCGGATGAGGTCAGAAAGACACACAAAGACAGTGGAGTCAAAGCAGCATTTCTAAAATCTTATATCCTGTTCTAAGAACTCTCATTTGAACATTTAATGCTGAATTTAATGTCAATTAAATGTGTTGTTCGCTGCAACTGCCTCATAATTTATTTTTTAATTATTAGCTCAACTACTGCTGTATTTTATAATTTCAAAAGTCACAGTGCTAATGATGTTTTTTAATATTTAAGACAAGTTTTAAATTCACATCATGGCACACCGTGACAATACATTATACCTTAATCAAACAGAAAGAGTGAGAGAATGTTTGATCATTTCAGCTAACTGAAACAGTGTATGCCTGCCATGGATGAGTTCTTTAAAGAGTCCTCCTTCTGCCATGGATTGATTATTCAACCTATCTGTCACATTTCTTTTACATTGTAGGTAGAAATAGGTAGAAATACTTCCTCCCCCAGCAAGCCTTCCCTGTCCTCTGTTGCCCTTTTCCAAAAATAGGAAGTTTGTGGCGTCCATGGCCTCAAATGTGGGGAAGATGCTCTGCTTTTGTTTTAATAACATGTATGATTAGCAATTTCCCCCAAATAATTTTGTAGCAACGGTATAGTGAACAACACAAACACAAAACAGGATGTTTTGTGTTTTGCTTCTAATCATAGGGTTAATGAGTAAAATAGTAAGCAGAAGCCATTTCTCTAGCTGAGTGCATCTGTACGCTTGACTAAATGCACACACTTCCAGCTGAATGTCACCAATAGGTAAAAATGTCAAAGGAAAAGTTCCAGAGGTGTGTGTTCATCAGTCATTGCCCTGTCCTGAAACAGATGATGAATGTTGTTGGCTTTGCTGAAGCTGGGTCCGTAGCAGCAAGCGAGCAGCACACACTCAAACAGCCCTCATCAAGACAGAAGTGAAATGCAATACACTCACATTGTGTACTATTTGTCAGCTTGTTGGTTGATTTTGTAAGTGCGGTTGCACCACAAGATACTGGAGATGGGTGTGGTCTGACCAATCCGTACCGAGTGGAGAGTTCCGTTTATTGTATTTCTAATGTGTATGTATCCAAGTATGAGTTATCTTAACTGTTGCACAAATATATTTTCATATATTTTTTATTGGTGCGGCTTGGTGTACATCAACCTTTATACACTAGAACTTACACAATAAGCCCATCAGGCTATACAAAAGAATTGCAGACAAAGGGCAGAACAGCTGAACTATAACAGATGAAGACAAAGTAAATACAAAATGAAATAAAATAAAGTAAAATTGTAACACTGTGATCATTTCTGTGGTTTTGACAAAAATAAATTTAAAGACAGATGGATTCCCATTCAGAGGGGATTCAAAGTGCTTAGATTAACATGCAGGCAATTATTCCCTCTTTTTTTGTCCAGTGCAGCTGCCTCCATTTGGAGGATTATTCCCTGTAATATGGCTCAGTGTCAGTCCCATCCATGCAATTAAACTTGTTAGACATCATGAGAAAATATACAATGTACACTGTGCAAGACAGACATGGGAAGGATGAAGCCAGAAAGAGGCTCCATATCTAAAGTTTGCTTTCCAAAAAGAAAAAAAGTACCATTAATATGAGTTAAACATGAAAGTGCTGTTTGTTTTTTAGCAGCGAGTGCCTCGTTTACTTTGTGTGAGACACTGACAAGAAACTGAATCAGATGCACTCCTCTTTAATAGCAGTGGGATGGTTGAGGACATTTAGTTGAGCTGGATTCGACAGATCGAGTAATTAGCCCCTATCCTTAGTCTTTTTTCTTGTAAAACTGAAAAGTGCTTTTTAAAAATGCTTCTGGTGAAGTATAAATTTCACATTATGGCTTCAGCTTAGTCCTTTTTTGAGGGTGTCTTCTTCACCTCATTCTGGCGCGCTGAGCAGTAATGACACTCTTCGCCGGCCCTTGATGGTGTAGGGCAGCAAAACTCCCACTAGTTCTTGTTAGTAGTCCAACAGCTTTTAGGGATTGAAAAAGCCAATAATACTTCAGAAACATACTTCACACAGTAAAGATTTTGCTTCATTAAAAATCTGTGTTGTCTTCTGTGTTAGCTATGTGAAAGCCTGGTGACTGAATGGCAGATCAGATAAACATATACAGATTATTGCAGGGCTGACACATAGAGGAAGCCAAACATTTACACCTACAGGTAATGCATGGGGTTAGGTAATTCACCACTTAACCTAACCCCATGCATCTCTTTGGACTGTGGAAGCTGGAGTACCCGAAGAGAGTCAATACAGGAAAACATGGAAACTCCACACAGAAAGGCACCGCTTTGGATTCAAACCCAGGACCTTCTTGTTGTGAGGTTACATTTCTAACCACTGCACTGCCACCTGGAATAACATGGGAAAAAATACACAGGCATCCACACCAAAGTATCGGCAGGTGCTGGGCTGAGAATAAATCGACACACACATCACTCACTGCATCACGGCAGCTGTACGATTTCAAGGACTGCTTTGAGCTGTGCATCACTGAGTATTTGTTATGCTTTTTGCATCGCGCAACAGAGGCGCCTCTTTGGTGTTTGCCTGTATTTGATGACTGTGGAGTGACATGTTGTCAACAGAAATTCTCCTATTGAAGCAGTTATTCATCTGTCAGGTATATGATCATCGCAATATTTTGATTTTGATTGGACATCATCTTGCCATGTCATGTGATCACGTGATTTAAGATAGCACTGCTCTGTGCGGAAAAATGTACAGTTACCATGATGCCACAAAGACGTGAAACTGGTGTTTTACGGTGTTTTTAAATGTTGAATAAACACAAATAAAATAAAAATGATTTATATTAAAAAGCAATAACAACTCTGTTGGTTCATAAATTATTTCACAGGATCATCAGTCTTTTGTGGGGTTTTTTAACATGTTGTTTGTTGGGACTAAATTAAAAAAAGAAAAAGTGTACATATTTAACTGAGTACTGTATTTAGACTTCAGGCACTTCATCATCATCATTTTGCTCTGTCAGCAGTAAGTGTCATGACACTCTTTACTGCATGCATGGTTAGATACGAGCAACAAGACATAGAAAATCTCACATGTTAAAGGTTCTTGGCAGGAGTCAAGCTAAGTAAGCTACAATCATGTGGCTCATCCAACCACAACTAACTATCCAGTTTGTACTTCAGTGATTAAATCCATAAAACAGTCACAAAGGTGAGTTGCAGTGTCATTCAAGCTCCTGAACATTGAACTAGGAAATACACATCGCTGAAAACACATTTTACTAATTATAGCCCCTTTGCAGATGCTTGTATCGTCACGGTTTGTCCTGATGTTTTAGTCACAAAGTGTAATCTCTCTCTGTACCTGATCAGCAGTGTTACTCAGTGTGTGTGTTTATTCCTTTATTTTCAGGTCCGAAACATTCTTGCAGGAAACCGAAAGAAACGAGCTGTGCAAGCACTGCATGAGGCACGTTTGTAGAAACAAACATGGGTAATCTTTCTCTCTCGTGCCGTCTCTCTAGGTCATCCTGGTGGAGTTGTATTCCACGGGGTTCCAGCGTTCCTTCTCAGATGAAGACGACCTGACTGCAATTGCTGATAGCGATGTTGTCTATGCCTTCCAGGCTCCTTCACTCTCCAGTCGTGGAGGCTCCGCACAACACTCAGGTAACCATGGCAACAGGCTGTCCATCAAAGGCGCTGCAGACAGTGACTTCCCACACTCGTTTGGCAATTTATCTTTTTTTCTTCATTTCCAATTTTCTTTTTGTCAGCCTCCCTCGGTCCTTTTGATTAACTTTTATTCACACTAATTCGCACTTACACTTGTAACCGTTTTTCACTTCCACCGAGTCCTCATGTTTCATTAACCACCGTGTTTTTCAAAAGCTGAAACTTTAGTGTGTTGAGGAGAGGGTCACTGTCCGCAGGGTGTTTTGTATTCTTCCTTTCATTCTGTTTCTCTATGCATGATAGCACCTAAACAAATGAAATTACATGTCACGTCTGAACGGCAACATAATTCAAATAGAAACTTTGAGTTTTGTCGTATCTTTTTGTTCGCACATAAATTAAATTATTGTACCTAGGATGTTGAGTGTCGCAGATCATGGCAAGAACAAATTTTCTCTTGTCATTTAAGGTAACACTTAAGAGAGGGGCTTTTTATATTCTTGATCACCCATTCTTGCTTGCAGTCTCGGTCGTTGTGTCCTTGGGCAAGACACTTCACCGCCGAGAAAGGCTAAAAAATATAAGCAGTCTCCTCAAGGAATGTCTCTGTCTCATAAAGGAGTTGCAGGTAGAAAGCTGAGTCAGAGATTACTCATCTCCTAAAACTCGTTTCATCGACATTTGAAGCTTCTAAATGCACATCTTAGGTGAGGCTGAGAGCAAATAATGTCTTGTGCCGCTTTCATCTGTTTGATTTGTACGGAGAAGTGGTGAAAAAACCATAAAGCATTTTCCCATGTGCACATTTCATTAGTCAATTTCTAAAGCCATTTTCTGTTAGGTTTTATCAGAATTAGTTGATGTCTTTGGTAGCGTTTGCATGTTCCCTTCAAATTAAATTCTGCACAGAGAGCGAGCTGCTGCAGGTTTGCGCTCTCGAAGCGCTTCTTGCTTAGGATGATTCCCGCAGCTGTCCTTGTAGCACACAGCAAGAAGTAATCCACTCTAGATGCTAGTGGATGTACTATATGGGGTTTAGGTAAGGAAGCTGCCTGGACAGGGCACGTAGGAGGCAGGAAACTCATTCACAAACAGAGATCACAGGGGAATATTAGTTGTGCTTCTCACCTATTGGTGGAATCTGGGATCACATTTGTATTAATGAACTGGCAGGTTAAAGAGTAGCTAATATTCGATATGACTTTTGCATTTTCATGTGCACCTCTGTTGAATGATGTATAGCATGAACAAAAGTTCAGAGATGCAGTCTATGTGTGAAAACACCTTGAGTCTCTGAAGCTAGAAGCCCGAGGTGTGACACCTCAGGATCTACTATCCTGAGGTGTCACACTCACCAACTCTGAAATAAACTTTTTTTTCTTCAGTTTTCTCAGAACAACTTTGCAAAGGTGCATCCTCACTTCACTGGTCATGTGGCACAGCCAAGCTTGCCCTTCTCAGTCGCAGCACCTCACCCCGAAAAAGACAACTCCGGACTTAAAACCAGCACCTGCCACTGACCCCACAACTTACTTTAAGAGAACAGCTTCTAGTTAACCAACAACAAAGCCGTTATGAGAGATTTTGTTACCCCTGGAAAAAGAATGACATCAATAATTTATTTCAGAGCTCAAAGTGCTCATGAAAAATTAAGACTCTTCACTTTCTCAACAGGAGGCCTTTGTATTGTCACTTCGCAGTCAAAACAATGTCACAATACTGGGAGAGGGCGCAGGCATACAGTGTGGTTTCACTCACACTTGCATAGGAACACAAACGTTTGTCAAAAACACATTCACACGTTTCCATCCCTTCTGAGGACATTAGGCTATTTCCCGGACTCCTTCAGTCTAACTTTAAAACCTAAAGTTTTCACTCTGAAATCTATTATTTTATGGAAATCTAAAGGTTTTACTACACAACAAAGTCACACACAGCACTACTGTAGAAGTCAATTGATTAATCTAATAGACTTACACTATATGACCCTTGAGGTGAAGCACTACACTAAGTACAAACCTATATATGCAGGCATGCATCTGTAATGAATCACACATAATTATTCTGTGTCAAAGTGACTTTTGTTCTTGTGAACATCAGATGAAAATGATAAATTGTCACGCCTCATAATCACAGGAGAGTCTTAGCATGTATTGCATTAATTTACACACTCATTGCCATGTAGACCTCGGCATGACATTGTGGATATAACAGATGATATATGGATCTTTAATTTCTTCTTGTCAGTTGTTAGAAAAAGTATTTTTACATTAATAATACAGGGCAGCTTTTATTTGGAGAGTAATTAAATTTTATTATCTGGAGCACAGAGGGAAGGTGTGGAGTGTTTCAAGTCGAGCTGCTGGTGCAAAGGACATTAATCTTCATCACAGGAGGCATAACCTTCGAGAATTAAACCGTACTGTTGTTCGTGGCTTATCGAAACTTAAACAAACAGCGTTACAACTAAATAAAAAAGTTAAAAGAAAGATATTTTATATTATGTTGAGATCTCAGATTATCATTCAGCTCCAGTGGCAAGTGTTGATACATATGCAGATATGGAGATCGCTAAGAGAAAGGGTGAAGGGGAGTGCAGGTAGCAAAATTGCTCAGCAGGACTCATGTGGATTTTTAACCAGTAGGTATTGCTGGAGAAGAAGAAAGAAGAAAGTCATACTCAAATGAAATAGCAGGGATTGCTCTGAGGGAAATGGGGTGTAATTTTATACAGGATCTTTTCACGCAAGCCACATTTTTTAATTTATTTAGTTATTCATTATTTTGAGCAGAGCTCTGATATTGCTGCTGTCTGTCATGTAGTTTGTTTTGCAGTTTGTGTGGGAATGTGAAGCCCAGCGAGAAGCAAACAGATGACTGTATAGAAAGCCTTTAGGACTGAATGCAATGAATAGCTTACTCACATAACAACCTCCCCCGGAGGTCCGAGATTTGTTTCCTTCCAAGAGATGCAAATTAGTTTGGCTCATGTTTGGTTCATGTATGAATTCCACTTTTATCAGTTACTTTAATTGGGATCAGATCTCACCAGGCAGGAGTAGGAGCAGAAAAACAATAGTTTTAGGGACTTGGTACAAAATTGAAAAATAATTTATTTATGAGATTGTGAGTGAGTTGTGGTAGATGATCGGAATTGGAGAATGGGTTTGCTTGTCTTTTATTTGTGTCAACTCTCAGTAAGAATGTGCCAGCCTTACTAATGCATGTGTTCATGATGAAATAGACACTACAAGCATGTCCCATCCCTTCAGGTTTAATCTTTGATTTACAGAAATGATAAACGAAACCGTTTTGTGGCACGTAAGAGCAGCTAATTTTCCCAGATCATCTGTGACCAAATTGGATTTGTACACCGACAGTAATTGTCACAGAGTATAGACTTTATTGCCAAGGTTATTAAATGTGAAACCAGCAATGCAAAGGCTCAAAAACCTTATTTCATGTCTCATTTTCTTGACTAATTTGTTTCAGTTGGCAGAAATTTTTGCAGCACTTACGTTATTGCTTATGTTTTACTAAAATACTGACACATACAAATTTGCACAGGCATAAACGCAGTTACCTATATGATGTATTCTCAGGAGTCTCTATCTCGCGGTCGTGTTTCTGACAGCTGTAGGATGACTTATAGCAAAGTTATATGGTGCAGCTCAGAATAGTGCTACCTTTTCATGGTGGAAGCAAGGCAAGCAAACGTGGACTGAAAATGTGCTTTCACAGCACACAGTGGCACAGAATAAACACTTAATAAGGCAAATTACCGCACAGCAGATTCTCAACGTGCAGTCAGAAACACAGATGATTATTTTCTTCTTTACCTCTGCAACACAGAAAATTATATATTTGCTATGCCAACCTTGCTGCTTTACAAATGTGAGAAAGATAATTCTCTAACCATGTTTTCTATTTTAGGTCTGAACGAAATGTGAACAGAATAAGAGTCTGCAGACACACTGGAAGGCTCTGGGAGAGTCTCTGCGCAAAATTTGGAGACAATATTTTAACACTTGTTCAGATATTTTAGTCTGGACGAAAGTGACGGATCAGCTGTTTCACAGTTAGGTTTACCCACCTGAGTGGCTACTAAGAAGTTTCTCTGGGTGGAAAAAAATGAATATGAAAGTGTGATATTTTTAGGGGTTTTTTTGGCAAATAACTTGTTTTTGAATAGGCTCCATTAGCCACTGACTCCTTTCTTGTCCTTTTCCAACATTTTCCCCCTCCCCACATTTCCTCTTTGTGGGAAAACAAGGGTAATTAGGATGCTAATGATGAAGGTACAAAGGCCCAAAAGCTCTCTCTCCTCTATCATCATTATAAATATATGAATAATGAATAGCCCTTCATGTAACAGCAAGACAAAAAAAAAAGGGATAGAGAGCCTAAATTTCAACATCAAGAAAAGTAACCAAGTTTAGTGGAGAGCGGTTTGAGAAGGATTTCTTTCTGGCTGTGTGCACGAATGTGCTGGGCTGGATTTTGTTTAACTTTATCTGTAAACGTTCTGGGGTATATTGAATCAAAACTGCTCCATAGTACAGTAATGAGGTTTTGCAGCAGCAGGAGGCCTCTCGGTAGAAAACACTGAAAAATCAATTAGGTCTAAAGCGCCACAATATCGTCCTATTTCAGCCTTAACAGTCTGGGCAATTTGCACATAAATAGAGTGATGGGAAAGGGAGAGAGTAGGTCCAGGTTTGAGCTAGGTGCAGGGCAGCAAGTGTTGCACTATGGCTGTCCAGCTGGGCTTTATTAAAAAGAGAATCCCCTGGATTATACACACTGGTCTTATTTATGTGGTCGGCACATTAGATTGAAAATCCAACAATATCAATATTTATTAGACAATATTTAATTGGGCCGAGCAAATGGTACATTAAAAAGTCAAGATAGAAAGAGACAATAAAGTAAACAGATGCGGCTTTAAAAAAAATAAATGACTGATAACTCTACTAATGGTGACTTCCTTCTAC